CGAAATTTGTATCGAGCATTGTGTTCGCGGAGAAAGGGGGAAGGGTTGCCTCCACGGGATGTCGAGAGCGTGTGCCGATCGGTTTCCGAATGGTTCACGGTAGTGGTGCTATTTTCCCTACGTATCGGCTCGGCTGTCGCATTAAGATTCTTGACTCCTCGCCGCGGCCATCTTGACTTATAACATCAGAACAGTTAGAAAATACACTACACAAGTTCTTGCAAAATATACAGAAATGAAAAAATATGTATATGTCCATAAAATGACACTTGCAGATTGACTGAGCAGATGTGTAAAGTAGTTGAAACACTTTCCCCTTTGTTCTGGCAATCGATATCTATACAACTTTCCTTATGACATAATTATAAGGAAAAGTAGATTAAGAAGGTAGATTCGTGTTGTGTTAATTTTACAATAATTTATTAATTGTTATAGCAAAAGTCAAGCGTTCTCTGACTATTTTTTACGTTCATTGATCGCAAGTATCATTATATCTCTTTTTTTCGACGTATTTCGTAAGAATTTTTATCTTATACTTTCTCGCCTCTGACGTCGTCAATCGAGAATTCCGCGGCGAGACGGCCAGGAGCCTTGTTAGGTAGACTTTCATGATTATCACGACGTGAGACACAATTGATGATGGAAACTCCACAGTTATTTTAATTACATTTATAATTAAATATATTGTGTGTTAAATTAATTATTAAATTTACATCGTATATACAATAAATTTTCTGACGCATCGACACAGCAGCAAATTTACTAAAGGTTACGGTCACATTTTCATAATTTTCATTTATTATGACGCATTGTCGGCAAGCAAAATTTGATCCTTTATTTTTACATTTCGTCATTCTATGCAATGAATATGAATGTAATCTGATCAGCCATAAGGAACTCGACGTTGTTGAACCTCGTGATTTAATATAATTAAAGTTGCCGTAAAGTTTACGCACATTAATCTATTGGGGTTAATCCTCGCGTAATTAGACTCCTCCGGCCGAGGAAACGGATGTTGACCCTTCGTCTCCCGCTCTCTCTCTTACGGATACTTCAAAGATGTTTCGCGCGGCTGTCTATTTTGTGGTGACGCGCGCATGTAAACGTCGCGGCTATTTCGGGTGCGAGATCGCGCGCGTGTGACAGAGTCGCCGGTGGCGAGAAAGAAATGCGACGCGGCGCGTCGTGTCGCATCGCTTTGCCTCGCGATGACGTAGCGAAAGTAGAATGACGCGCGAGCCGCGACAAAAATACTCGTTCTGCTGCGTGCGATAATACAGACGACGGAGCGCGATAAGAACTGCGAAATCGTGCGAGCGAGCTCGCGATCTTCGCGAAACCCGCGCGCTGCGATTTCCCGCGTCGGTTCCGTTCGTCGCCCATCCGAGATTGAACGCAACACGGACGCTTGGCGTTCGCTGGCGGACAGGCTCGAGAGTAAAAGTGGTCGGGCGAGGATGAGATATGTAAATGAGCGAGTAGGGACTTGGAGAGGTAGCGGCGACTGTGGTCCCGCGTCGATCGGTAGTCTCGCGCCACTCGATTACACTTATCGTGTGCGGAGGGAACGATCTAATTAAAACGCTCGTTGTCTGCACGCTTTCGTGTCGAATCAATCGGCCGATTACGATAGCGGGATGAAGTTGGTACCGCAACGCTTCGTCTCCGCGGCCGGATTGACGGCTGTCGCAAGCTCTCTCGACGAGTGTTGCATTCGTCAAGAACCGCGGTGTGTCCGTGTCGTAAATAGCCGGCTGGTATTAACCACGAACGAACGACCAGTGCACGCTTGGCACGACGCGCGCGCAAGTATTATCAATTTCTGATCGTTATCGACAATGAGATATTAATTATCAGCGTTTTTTTACGTCGGCGCGCGTATTATAGGCGGAACTTGTGTATTCGATACCGACAGTTGATTATTCATATTGAGCATTTGTTAATTATGAAATTAACCATTAACTGAAATCCTCGCGAAACGTCGGCTATCGATTTCACCGTCGTCGAGCAACGTCGCGATACGCGCTGTTGTGCGACCAACGGAGTTATCATTGCGGCACTGCCGCGGTAATAATTCCCCAATCGGGAGGACGCGTTCCTCAACGGTGGATGATTCTCACAAATAGCGTCTGTTGTCCGGCAAGCCGCGTGTTATAAGTCGGACCTGCTGACGTTTAAGGTTTAAATTGCGCAGTGGCGATTTTCGCCGTTCCAAGCATTGTTGTTTACGCGTAGCTGCTCAGCACCGATTTCAAGCACGGTCAAAGAGGGTCGCCTGTTCCGTGCGTGTGTATATCGTCGATGCTTGGCCGGGTGTGTGTGTGTGTGTATGTGTGTGTATATGTGTGTACCGGCGACCCACGCTGGCGCCGTCGTAGCCGCAGCCGCCGCCGCCGCCGCCGCCGTCACCGTCACCGCTGCCGCCGCCTTCTGCCTCGCGCTCGCTCTTTCGTACGTTCTCTCTCTCCGTCTCTCTCTTGGACCCGAGTCGCTATACCACCTTCGGAGGTCGTGTCTAGCAAAAATGCCCAGACTTGCCCGACATTGGTGTCGTCGGCGTCTAACTATGCGTAAACAACAATGGTCCGCATGTTGTATCCCGATTGTAAGATTGCTAGGTGAGTCGGTAGATAGCAGGTAAGTTGGTAAATTCGAACAAAATTCTTTGAGATGAAAGATCGTCTTATGCGATCTTTGTTGGGTGCTGTGGCCGTCGTAGGTCTAATAATAATGCGGAATGTGTCGATCCTATCGTCGCGTTTGACGATCAATGGCGCAAACACATTCGAGACGGAGTCGACTTCCTCGCGCAGGTTTCTCGTCCCATACGTCTGTATCAGACCTAACCTTTTTACAATTGAGTTCGTAGATAAACTACTACATCTCACATCGCGTGAGCAGACGGAGATTTCGTAGAAATCCACGGCCGTAACTCCGCGAATTTCTCGATAAACTTGTTCGAGCGAAGATTTCCCAGCAAATTTTTGAATTTTCAGAGTATTTAAAAAAAATTTTTTATAGTATAAATTTTTTTACTAAAATACTGAATATTCTTAAATCTGAATATCGTCTTTTAATGTGAAATATTTCAATTTGATCTCCAATTAAGCTTGTCCGTGTGCCATGCAGAATGAAACGTCATGAACGTGACGTTTCATTTCAAGAAACACAAGACGGACAAGCGAGTGGAAGAGCGTGAAGAGCGCACCCAGATAGACTTTTATGATTATCACGACGTGAGACAATCGGTCATACAGACTTCACAGGTTTTTTAATTATATTTATGCGTGAAGCAAATTTACTGCATTGAATTAATCACTAAATTAACATCGTACAATAATGTAAATTTTTTATTGCATTTATGCAACAACAAATCCACAGCAAGTCGCACTCAGACTTTCATATTACATTTACATGACACATTGTTTCGAGGAAATTCTTTTCGCATTTCTATTTCGCCATTCTAGATGTGATACATATGAGTGCCATGTCATATGAACCACTCATCAGGAATGCAACCTCAGATCTTCATACTAGATGTTGCATGACGCATTATTTCGAGGGAATTTCGACAATTCCTCTCCATTTCATCATTCTATATGATAAATATAAGTGTCATATGATATGAACCATTGATCAGGAATACAATCTCAGATTTTCAGATTAGATTTTGTACGACACATTGTTTCGAGGGAATTTTGACAATTCCTGTCGCATTTCTGCCTCATCACTCATAAATAACTCGTAAATATGAGTGCCATTATAGGAACCATTCATGAGAGATGCAATCCTTGGAAATCGAGTAATATATAAAGTTGCTGCCAAATTTGCGCGCATCTGTCTATCTGGGTCTAATGAGGGCAGTAGACTTCCCGCGCGTTCGCCGCGCTTTGTACGTTCATTTGCGCTCCGTTTTACCCGTTCGCCTAATCCTTACGTCGGTTATATATACGTCCATCACGATCGCCTCCGAGCGATCCCGACCGGTCGTCGTGCGATCTCTCATTCCGCAGCGCGGCTGGCGCCGCTCGATAACGATAATTATCATTCTCCGCCGAAGAGCGCATCAATTGGCCCGCGCTCCGACGCGATCAGACGTGATTTATGATGCATTAGGATCGCGAAGAAGCACCTCTTACGTACGGAATGGTACGAACGGATTTTTGCGTCCACTGGTCGCGCGGAACTTCTCTCTTCGTGTACTCGTGGGAGGTGTATCGAGATGTCAGTCGCGCGATATCGCTGTTTAATCGGAATCGCGACAGAACGAATTTGGAACACGCCGGCTCGAGTCGCTGATTACGATCCTCGCAGCTCGGAGTGTCACTTTGCGACGCTGAGGTCTTTAAAACGACAACGATGATGACACGAGAAAATGCGAAGTTAAGTGACGGTTATAATCGATAGAAAGGAACGAATCTGCCAGGCTGCGATAAGAAGTTAATTTCGACCTAAACTGCTAATGAGTCTGCATTCCGTATCACTGAGAAAAAGAGAGAGAGAGAGAAAAAAGACACTTTTTCGTATGGAAATGGGAGTTCGAGTCAACAATTCGGGATTCAGTCTGGATTAGTTCCTTTCGACGTAGTTGTCTTATCTATAATGAAAGCGTTGAAAACGACGTAACATCCGAGTAGAGCTGTGCTCGCAAGAAATCGAGTTAATACATCGTTTGAACCAGCTTCAATACTCAAGTTGTTTCTCCAATTGTAAATAACACACGTATCGCTCGCGATATCGGAACAAATCAATGCAAATTATTAGTTTGCGAGACGAACTCGGCGCACCTTACAGCTCAGAGCTCGACGTCATGTTCAGCGCTTTACGGAGACGAACGCCGGGAGACCGAGCTAATTATATATAACATGACGAATGAACATCAAACGTTGACGTGGCTCGTGTTGATTCAAAGCAACCGCCGGTCTTTAGCCGAGTCTCCCGTTTTGTTGTCATCCGAGTCCGAGTCCGTTACGGAGCGCGTTACGGACGCCAAAATTCACCTGTCACGTAGGCTGAAAGCTCGCACGTACTTTTCACCACGTGGTCGCTCATCTTCCCCTCATGGACCACCACGGGCTCACTCCCCTCTCCGATTCACGCACCGGCACGCACTCAATGACAAAATACACTTATGTTTCCCTGGCGGGACAGACAGACAGATAGATCCACAAATCCGCTCGGGCACGTGTAACAGAGATCCGTTTCGCTCGAGATAATCCCAAAACTCCATTCACCGCCACGGACAACAACGGTATCCCACCGCCTTCTCGGCAACGTTTGCAAAGGACTTTGCAAAAGTTCAGTTCAGACACCCGACTCGGCTCGACGCGTCGTCCTCCGATCGCAGTCGATAGCGCACTGACTCGCCTCGTGTACTCGCGACTCCGTTTCATGCCCTTACGTGTGCGAGGGAGTCTCGACTGGTCCGCACTCCACCACTACCACCGTTACCACCAACCAGCCACACTACCACCACCTCCGTCGCTACCACCACCAACAGCTACGCCGTCGCTGCCACCAGTACCGTCCAATCTACCACCACCACACTACCGTCGGCATCAACACTAGTAGTACTACTGAACTACTACCGCCATCACTACCACAAGCACACACGACTCGCTTCTCTTTCTCTCTCTTCCGTGAACGCTCGCGCGCTCACCAACGAGCTTCGACTCAAAACGGCATGCGAGAGCATCGGTATGTGTGGTGGGGACCGCCGGAAAAGATCCCGTGACAGAGAACGGCGTTGGCGTTGGCGCCCGTTGATGGTAGTGGTATATCGTACCACACTGGTACTGATGGCCGATGCTAGATAGATAGATAGATAGATAGAACGCGAACTACGATTATAGTAGTGGTGGAATCGGCAGTATTGCCCGTTTGCTCCTGATGGACGACGTTGGCTGATGTTACGCGACGCGTAACAGTAGCGGTGTTGTTGGCGGCTAGACGGGACTAGTCGCCTGGTTAGCTGGCCAGCTATCTAGCTAGCTGCCGTTCCGTGTCATCGATAATGATTTGTGGCCGACGTTCTCCGCGACTTTAACGACTTAACGATTCTTGATCGTGCTTCTTATTGATTCCAAATTTCCCGATGGTCACCGTGACGACCCCAACGCGCCTCGACGTTCGCAATGCTCGGGGAACATTGATGATCGACGTTGGTGTCCCACGTTGGTGTCCGTCGTCGGGTGACGCAGCGTTGGCGCCGCTGAATCGTGCTGGTGTCGCCGTCCATTGGTATTGGTAGCCGATGTTAGGCGACGCAGCGTGCGCGTTGGCGTCGGCGGCCACGGCGGGAAGGAGGAGGCGAGGTGCACGCATTGTTGGCGGCGGGAGTCGGCGGGGGCCGACAGAGCGGCGCCAGCCGGCCGAGAGTTTAGCTCACAGTTTCTCTGTACCAGTCGCTCCTTCTCTCCCCCCTCCTTCGTCTCTTTCTCTTGTACCTTCCCTCTGCCCCGTCTCCTCGCCGCGCTGACCCTACACGCTCTCCTCTCTTCATTCGTCTCTCTTTCGTCGTGCTTTACAGCCGCTCTGCCCACCCACCAGTGGTGGTAGCGCGCGCTCGCACGTGTGTTGTTTCGTAAGTATGTGTGTGTGTATGCGGAGGAGCCGAGGGCGGGCGGCAGGAATCGGGAGTTTATGGGACTCACTGACCACCGCGGGAGTCTTTCCCCGGTCTCGAGGAGGCCGTTTACCGGCGTTGATCTCTTCGGGAGACTCGACCTCACGAATTTTTGCTCCTTTTACCACCCCGTCGCTTCCGACCGACCGAAACTCCTTTCCTCTCGCCTTCTCGCGTTGTCCTGCGCTCCTTCTGCGCCGCGCAGTTCGCTAGCGCGCTTTTTCCTCTCGCCGGTGCAACGTCCCTGTCTCCCGAAAGAATGTTCTCGCTACGCCCCAAAACCATGGGAACCACCCGCGGGTGTGCGTTTGCCCGGGAATTAGGGGCACTTTTCTTGGGGGCGGCTAAGTGACCGCGTGCTCCGGTAATATCGGACCTCGCCGTTCCTCTGAATCGTAAATACTTTGGGATCCGTGCGAACGCCACGACAGCTCGCACCGCAATGACTTGTGATTCCCAGTTGTGGACGCGAGGGTAATTACGAACTTGGTTGTAACAAACTAAAGGGCAATGTATCGTTCAATTCTTGTCGTTTGTTGTGCAAACGAAACAAATATTGCAAGATTTGCGTGTGGATGATATGCTAGATGGCTAAACAATCATCGAGAAGACGCTTTAAAATTCGCGATATAGAGAGTTCACTAACGAGAGACGGTTTGAAAGTACCGTTCATCTGACGTGCGAAACAATAAGCCTTTTCGTTTTAGTTGAACTGATGCACAATAAATTAGAATGTGATAAATATATTTAATAACAATGTAACAAATAATAATTTTGTTTCACTCTAACTTATTGCACCAGTCTACACCAGTTCAAACAGTTCAGCTAAAAAGAACAGACCTATTGCTTTGCACGTCAGATGAACGGTATTTTCAAACCGTCTCTCGTTAGTGAAATCTCCATATCGCGAATTCTAAAGTATCTTCTCGATGGCTGTTTAGCCATCTAACATGTCATCCATACGCGAACCTTGCAATATTTGCTTTGCTTAACCTATAAGTGTATATACGCCTAGAGGTCAAACAAACGAATGTTTCTTTAAGATAAAACCACCCAATGCCTGGACGCGCACCTGATTCTGAACATTCTTATTGTTTTGCTCTTTAAACATGAATATTTAAACTTTCAACATATGTATATACATCCTGAACACATACATATAAATACATATATTAATTAATATATATTAATATATATTAATTAACATATTTAATTAATACATATATTAATTAAAAAACAGTAAGAATAGCTAAAATTAGACACATGTCAAATTGATAAGTTTATCTTGACGGTAAAAATATGAAATTAAATATTTTTAAATATATACTTTTATCTCTTTTATGATGTTTAAGAATTATTACTTTATGTTTCAAACGTGTCTTTGTTTATATAATTATAGATAAATATAAGAAAAAAATAAAAGTAAAAGATCACGCGACTACTTAAGGGTGAACAGAGCGCTAAATTGCATACTGACGGCACATGGATCGTCTTTCCGTGCCATGAAAACGAGAGCCTTATTGTATCGAAATTTGCCGAAAAGCCAGTTGAGTCCGGCGATTGCTCGTCACGTGTGCGTGCGAACCACATGCGGGTCAAACAACAGCTAACCGTGCAAGACGAGTCCCGTTTGGGGCGCGATTTACGACACCGAAAACATTTCGTCGAACTCTCGGTCCACCTACGCAGCCGCCACGTGCTGTTCGCTGGTAGCCATCTGCACCTCACACGACTGCATACCCTGGTTCCTCGCAAGAGGGAAGAGCGAGACAGCCTGGCCGAGCGAGCGGTCGCTAATCCGCCTCGGCTTTACGTGCCTTCTGTTGTACGACTAGGATTACCGTAGGGTAAACAAATAGAATCTCTCCGAAGTTTCGAGAGGTCATACGAACTGCTAATTCTCCGCATCCTCTTGGCGAGCGTCCGTGATAGCCGTTTCGAGATGTGCTTTCGCACAAGTCCGTTGCGTGTCTCGAGAGAATCACCAGACCCGGAAAATCGCCAATGACTGTTGTCACTGCCGGAAAGAATCTCAAAGCGAAATTAGCAAGTTGACGCTGCGCGTTCTCGGTTTGCTCGGCCAACAATTCCTTCGAGGAAGCTAATACGGTCTAATAGTGTCTCGTCTCGCGAATGTCAGACGCGTGAGCGGAGACTCGCCAGACGGAAAAATTCGTTAAAGAGGTTTTTTTTCTTCTCCAATTCTCGTCCCTCTCAACAACCCCGTCCATGTGGTTTCGAAAGTGTCCCGGGTCCTTCCGCCGCGCTGTTTTCGAGGCCGCACAATTCCTGCACATTCGCTCGCGCTCGCTCGCTCACTCGCTCGCATTCGAGGCAGTCGGACTTGTCAAACCAGAAATCGGCCGCGCATCAAGAAGCGTAACCGATCAAGGCCGTCGGGGATTTTTATTTAGTCGCGCGCAATTATTTCATCCCGCGGAATCGCCAGACGATGCCTTACTGCGACGGCGCGTATAACCGATTTCTCGCTCGGCCGACAGTCGTTCAATTGAGATCCGCGAGTTCGAGATAGTCTAGCTTAACGAGCTGAAAGCTCGGATAGGTAAAATGCGTGAACACTATCACACGTACCTGCTTATCTGTCTCCTCGAGAGTCGCAGGAAGTCATGAGTGCACGAGTACGATAAATAAAAATGTTAGGTATTCGTAGCGTATCTATCTACGCGAAAGAAAAACAAATAACATGGCTGTCATATTTATCGGTTCGTGCGACGCGGATAACGATCATCGACAATAATTGCTCAAACGATCAATCCGTTCGCGCAGCTTCGTGCGAAGAGAGTCGATTCGCGACGAACCGCATTCGTCTTCTGCTTCCTTTTTTAGCGAAGCCAAACTCAGCGGGTTCGGGTTGTCGCGTTTCTGATTTCCGGGATTTGCCCGACTACTACTGCGTGACATTCTGGTCAGTCCCCTCTTCGAATACTGCATCGCTACATCACGTCGGCATGGAAATCAACGAACGTAGGAATGCCCGGCACCTGCGCCGCTGAAACGACCGTGGGTCCTGGCCGCGATAATCTCCGAGCGTGATTCACGTTCTTCCCCGACAACGCATCCGAGATCAGTCGACCGCCGAAATTACGCAGTCACTTTCGAGCGATGATTACTCCAACGCCCTCGGAACATGCGCGCGCGACTCGGTGCCACGAGAAGGGAGTTTCGCGTAGCTCTGAAGTTCTCGGAGCTTCAGCTAATGCGAATACGTAGATGCAAAATTCGTGAGTCAGCCGAGAAAAGTTAGGGAACTAGCTCGGCAAATAGATGAAGTAAATATCCGAGTTGAAATTTCGGCTCTACTTTCGAGCTGAATCTTCTAACATTTGTATACTCCGAGAGATCAGCGTAGCTTTAATTCATATGAAAATTGAGAGCTTATTTAGCGTTTCTAAATGGCAGAAAATGCCACTTGTAGGTGTCACAGTTTTGCCATCGGTTCTAATGAGAACTTCACGACAAAGTTGTTGATTAAGTTGTTGAAAGGTGATAGAGACTTCAGAGTATCAAAGTAAGCATTTAGATGAAATATTGAGATCAAAAGTAAGATCAAAATTTCAACTTGGATACGTTTAATACACTTGGAAATTGTAATCCTACTGAGCACCTTTAGTGGCGGAGAATACACAAAATGTTACTTGTTCTAAAGAGAGATTCTAAAGAAAATCTCTTGGCAAAGTTACAAATTAAGTAGAATCAAAAGAAGTTGATATAAACATTTTTTTGTGAGTATGCGTTTACTACTTATTGAAAATCAAACTAAACTTTTTCACTGACCTGACATTGTGTTAAATGCGACACCTTTAAGTAAAACATTTTCCAGAAAACAAAGTAATCCTTTCATCTCGAGCATCAATTAACATAACATAATTATAAAAAAATAACATAATTTATATTTAAAAGAATATAGGCGTTAATATGGAATATTGGGATCAAAAGACGGATCAAAATTTTGGCTCGGGTATATTGAAAAAAAAAGGATTTGGTTATCGAAATCAAAATTTGGTTAAAATAGGATCAACTGTTTGGTAATTGCAATAAAAAAATTTAATTGCC